CATTGTTGGTATCGGGAGTATACGATAGGATAGGATAGGATATTTTATTTGGAACATAGGCCACACTCGTTTAATTTCATGGATGACATCCTCTGAAGACCCCAAAACTAATGCGCGCGCGGATGTCATCCATAAAATTAAGTCGGTGTGGCCATACATAAAACAAAGCTTATGAGGAGTCCAAAGACATACATAACACAGCTAAAATAATTTGAAGACAAAAAAATCGCTAAAATGCTGGAAATATAACTCTCGTTACTAGAAAGCACAAAAGTAAATAACTTCTCATCGAAAAGTTTGTCCATCTCTGGCACATACTAAGCTGCAGGCAATTTCAACCTATTTGTTTTTATATTGTGATGCTCACATATTGTAAATTAATGTTATTTTTACCTCATTTCCCACTGAATTGAAATTACAAAAATGACAATTTCTGTCACCTCTATTTTCATTCCTCGTGTGTCTTCCTAATTCTGCAGGTGGGCAATGGAAATTCTAAATTTGGTCTGTGCCACTGTGTCAGCAATTTGAAGAGATGTACTGTCTCTGAGAGAAAGGGTCGTGTCGTTCGTAAAAGCCGAAAACCTTTGCCTCTTATTTGTTCATTACGCCTAATGTGAAGAGCAAGAAGTTCAGTCGAAATAATAAAGAAAGCGGTAGATAACGGTCAAACTTGCCTAACACCCCTCTGCAAAATAAACCAACCAGTATTGTTACTTCTATTTAGCACGCAATTTTGTATGTCTGTGCTCAGACTAGTAATACTAGTCTGAGGTCTGTGTAACAGGTTGATCAGTTCCAAAGCCCTTGCACATAAACGACCATTGCAAGGAATCAAATGCATTTTAACCCCAAAACAGAAGTCCTTCTCCAGTTAATGAGAAAGGTTCAGTGCCGGATCCAGCAAAATGTATTGGGGGGGGGGGGCAAGCTTCGCTTAAAATATACAAGCGAAAATCGCAAGAAGCTATGCGTAATCCAAATGATATGAATCGTCATGCGTTTGGGGGAG